TCTCTTAGTCCCAATAAATTTTATTCTCCACGAGTATGAATAATGACATCAGTTTCCTTTGTCTCCTATATTGTCGCCCTAATGAAAATTATGATCCATAATCAGTCTAGTTTGGAACTATTAAATGTTAATTTTAAACTGTATTTTAACCACAACACGTACATACTGTATAATATATAACACAAATATGCATGTCGATACTGTATTCCCACTAGTAATAAATTATCAAGATAATATTATTGTCACACTTTAAATAAAATGTAAGTGCATGCAGTCGTAAATATATAGATTTAGCCAGGGCTAAAAGGGAAGCTCCCATTAATAAATTTATAATTTAGATCAAACAATAAACTTGTATTCCAACAAATCAGTTAACTTTAGAGCACATTCATGTGACTTTTGAGGGAAAGGCTAACTGATTTTAGAGAAAAACAATTAGCAAACAGTCCAAGAGTGAACCAAATCTTGCATCGAGTTGATAGCCTCATATGCACACACAAAAAATAGCAACCATCTTCAATCACATTTAAGACACATAATGGCTATTGATCACAGTAGATTAGGCCTAGAAAACAATTAAATCAGGCCGAATTTTTTGGGTTCGACAAGTTTACTTGCCAACAAATCTGGGGGCATGTAAACCATCCTTTTATACTTTTTATACATCACATCTGAGGTGAAACAGTACTTTCAGGCGCTGTTTTTATCATACAGACCTCGGACAGATTGCAGTATTTCACAATTTTTGCAATACAAATTTCACTCATTAAATATTCAGGACGATGGAAGCACGCGTGGGCTTTTAGCGAAATCGTTAAAAAAAATTTCAAAATCACCTATACAGCCAGCCGGCTCTCACTTTTGACAATCGCCAAATGAATGAACAATTATAGAGTTAAGCTTCAACTTAATAAAGAATTCATTGTGTTTATTTTTTTATTAATGGTTTTATAAACGATCTGTAATCTTCAAAAGCGTTTCATACGCGCGGCATTTTGAGTACTCCTGCAAGCGATGTTCACTGAATGACTGAAAAAAAAAGGCACAGCGATTAAAATTGCAAGAGAGACTACTAACAATCAATAAAAGAAATATAATTTGGTGAAACATATACAGAGACAACAATTTTCATTCACGAATACAACGATTAAAGTGTCTCTAAAAATCCTGAGTCTTCAAGCTTCAAGCTTATGTTTATGTTCTAAGCCGGCTTCCCGGTGTTTGCTTTTTTCAAAGACGAACTCGAGGCAAGAAAATCGCTCAAGGCTTTCTTTTACAGGCAGAATTATAACTAAATATTCTTTGGAACGTTTTCTTTCTATTTGTGGTGAGAATATATCTAAGGCTTTTTAAAGTTCTGTAAGCTTATATAAAACCTGATACTAGGTAAGATCAATGTCTCAAAGACCTGCATAAACTAAATAGCCGCATAAACTGCACTCGGCTCCATTAAATTGGATATAAAAAAAAAACAAACATCAAATACAATAATTACTCAGGCTTACCATTCGAGATGCAGCTCCTGAAAGATATCAATTTTAAGTAAGCCCAGAATCGCTTCAGACTTTTCAACCCTCTTAGGCACCAAGCAATGTGAAAAACGAAAACGATGCCATCCGAAATCGGATTTCCGACTTTGACAAGCGACGCATTTCACAACCAAAAACCCAATAAACAAACTAGCCATGAATAACAGAAGACTCCTGATAGCAGCTGAATCTCATTTTGTACATCCAGTGAAAAAAAGACAGTTAAAAACATCACAAGTTGACACAAATTCTGTCAGCTTCGGCTGTCAAAATAGACAACTTTCAAGATGCTGCATAAATTTTACGCATGAACTCACCTGCCAAATTTTGACCAATTAGAGCATAAAAATTGGACGTAGAGCGTGACCAACTCTTGACCATGGTGAGAAAAGTCAAAAGCAACTGTCTGCCCTGCCCTTAATAGCTGGCTGAATTTCGCGTCCGGGGTCCGTTTGAAATCAAAATTTTAATTGTGCGGCACATAAACACAACATATTTCATATGAATTAAAAAGAATTAAACTAGAGCCTCCGATCATTTGAAAACCAGTAACTTGTCAGCGGATAACTTCAAAAATATACTCGACCCCCATAGGTCGGCACCTGAGGCCGCGATACGGTCAGGTGATACTGGTCAGCGGATACCCTGTTCTGATCACAACATTGATGTGCAATATGTTTGCAATGCCAGTTTTCCTGTGCTCTTAAACTACAGTCTCAGTCAAAATTGTTGGGACGTTGTTGTGTGTTCTCCTCCCTTCAATGTTGGTGTACACGATTTGCCGACTGAATGGCAATAAACAACATTGGGAGGGAAAACGAAAGCACGGGAAGGGAAAAAAAGGCTTTTGCGTTAACTGTCCCAACTATTTTTGTCTGAGACTGTGTCAGAGAGGAATTTGAAGCATTGGATTAGATAACGAGATTAGTTTATAGTTCGTACGTATGTGACGGAGTTTAGCCGAGCTGTGACGTTCCATGCGAGGTGATTTGCTAACGATTCTATTTGCAGTGAACTGATGTAATGGACTGCAGTAGTTACTATTTTGGGAATTTACATGTAATAAAAAGAGACCCGCAAGACTGAGAATAACCAGTTAGTAGACCGATAATTTTCTTGGAGCGATATATTGACAAAAAAGTAGAATGGTTTTTAAGGGCGCAATTAATAGCGTGACACGAGCACGTGTGTACTATCTCTGTAACATCCAGGGTTTTCCCATACGGAAAGTCGCTCGAATGTGTCAGATTTCTAGAGGAAGCGTATGGAGAATCAAAAAAGAAGGCCTTCTCGGTAAAAAAGACTGTAAGGAACACATACGAAGGGGACGACCTGTGAAATTAAGCGCAAGAGACGGGAGGCAGTTGGTGCGAGCCATTCAAAGACTTCGAGAGAAAGAGGGCAATTTTTCGTGTCAGAAATTAATGCAAGAAGCCGGTATTTCTGTGAAAGATGTATCAGTTAGAACAGTGTCCCGGTTTCTAAATTCGCAAGGGTACTATTATCTTCAAGCGCGTAAAAAGGGTGTTCTAACAGTCACAGATATGAAGAAAAGGCTACAGTTTGCGCGACGAATGCGAAAACACTATGGGGCCGACGTCTGGACTAAACGGATAGCTTTCTATCTGGGTTGTGTGTCTTATGTGTACAAGAGAAATCCATTGGATCAGGCTTTGGCTCCCAAGGCACGAATATGGCGAAAACGTGGCGAAGGTCTTACAACTGGCTGCTTGGCAAAAGGCAAGAAAGAAGGAACTGGCGGAAGATATGTGAGACTTATAGTAGCTATATCCTACGATAAGGGTATAATTGCTTGTTATCCATACAGGAAAATGACTGGCCGTTTATTTGCGAATTTTATCGATGATTATTTCCCGGGAATGTTTCTGCAGGCAGATAAGGGGGGAGAGAACTTATTTGTACAAGACAATTGTCCATGTCAGAATTCCGTGTTGGCTAAAGCAGCCCTGAGGAGAACCGGTGCAAACTTACTAAAGTTTCCAGCGCGATGTGCTGACGTTCTTTGCCATGAAAATCTTTTCCCTGTGGTTGCTCGTAAACTTGAGAAACAGGCCACTGAACGCCAAATTACGAAGGAGTCGTATAGTGAGTTCGAGGCACGAGTTATTAACACCTTTTATTCCATACCAATAGGGACTATTAATAAGCTTATTTCCTCTATGTCGTCGCGTATTCTACAGCTTATTGCTGTAAAGGGAGGGCGAATAAAATATTGAATGTTACAAATGTGTTAAACAAAGTATATTTTCCTTGCTGTAGTAACAGTATAGTTCTAAGTAAAAGGGGAAACTCCTTATGTGAGGGACAATGAACTGAACTGTATCACTTGTAAACGCTCTTTACATAATAAATTCTTAAGTAAACACAACAGACATGGTACGCGTGTGCTTCAATATGAATAAATATACCAATAATGTGTTCGAACGTTGGTCTACTATCCAAAAAACCTCACTTATGTACCCGATTTTCTTCGAGCCGATGAGAAGGTTTTTTTCCCTTTTCAAGGGTCAAACACAAAGAAAGTCCTCAAGATCATAGCTATGCAAAACAGCAGGTGTTAAATCGCCACATTTCGAGATGTTGTGTTTACACAGTATTTCGGCTTAACACCAAATGGTGACATCGGTTGTCAAAGTTATGAGCAAATATACACGGAATGAAATCGTCATACAACCCAAGAAACTGCCATAAAAGAGGGAAAATCCATATAACTGATGACTCATCTCAAAAGACGGAAACATATGCCCTGCTAATGCTAAAAACAGGCCGTGCACTAAAGTGTACACGGGTCACCGTACTTTAACTCAATTAACAAAGTAGCACGTTTCTTTTTAAACCGAAAAACTGTGTCACCATGCTCCAAATGTAAATAAATTGTCTTGTGTGTATCAAGCAGCGCTGAATACCGGCATTTTCATTTTCCTGTGAAACACACTTGTCTTTGACTTTTTCATTCAATTGTTTTTACTCAACAGGTCATAGTGAAGGCCCGGTAAAGTACGGTGACCCGTGATGGTGACCCGATAAACATGTCACCATCCCTTCACTATACTTGCGGGAAGATCAGTTTTGCAAAACAGTGGGGGCAGTTAGGGGTAATTCGTTGCTCTTCCTCGGGAATTGGGCTCTGTAGGGCGAAAACCTTCCAACGAACTCTCATCATCTGCGATTCCCTCTCGTCAAGTACTCCGCCGCGTACGAAACTGAGTTCCTCTTTACTAGTACAAAAAATGGGAGTATCACGTGTGAACTCGATGTCCTGAGAAAAGTGCGTTTTCGGAGCAGGAAGATGTACTTTTTGCCCCTCTAATAAAAGTAACAGATCGTGCCACGGTATGATTTGAGAGCACCACCGGAAATCATTTAAAAAGATAACTTCCGCAGTTTCCGCACCTAACCATGCAAATGTGGTAGTAGCGGGGTTTGTGAAAGTTTTAAACACGGTATTCAACGGGTTCAGCAGAAATGTTTTCCCACAATTAGCCGGTCCTTTCAAAAATACGTTTCTGTACTTGCCACGGCCCTGCTGTAAAAGATTTCTCACTGCCTCCGAAAATTCGTCTCGGCTAATACCATTACGCTGCAACACTTGTTCAGCCATCTCTAGCCATTTTCCCTGACAACCGTCTACACATGGGCTCTCTAGCTCGCGGTACACAATTTCTACCCGTGATAACTTGCTGCGTGCCAACTCTGACTCTGCATTTTCCATCTCCCAACCTATACTAAGAGCTTCCTCAACTGCTTTGGAACCTCTGTTTGCTATAAATTGCGCCAGGTCAGTTTTCCCCTCTCTTTTTTGCTGGCTTGCTAACGCCACTAACTCCAGACGCGTTTTAATCCGCCTGTCAACTGCAATTTGCGATACATCAAATATGGACAATGATCTCTTTCGCTTGCCTTTTTTATTACTAGTATCTTCATCACCTTCTCCAAGGCGTCTTTCCCGTAATGCGCAACTTGCATTTGTCGTTATTGGCGCCCCATCATTTCGCAGATCGGGATGATTCGTGGACTGTAGTGATGAACTATCCTCCTTGGTTGTATACCTCCAGGCGCTGTAATAATTGTCATGTCTGTCACTAAAGTTGACTTGGACACCGTACTCCTGGTCAATATAATTCCTCACACGCAGCCATCGTCTTTGACCGCTCAGTTTCACCGCCATATGATAATGTAGACCGCCATCTGCATGACTTTCCTGACTACATACCCAATGGATCACTGTGGCATTGGACTCGGGAACTGCGTTATCAAATGCGTCTAATATAATACGTGCAAAGGCCTCTCGTGTAGGGACAATCTCTAAGTTGGCCTGACTATAGGTTATGAGGTACACTCGTCTCACATCTCGCGAACTTAAACTTTCAGTGTTTGCGCTGTCCACTTCACTCACATCAGAAACGCAGTTTGTTTCACACACGCCAGCACTAGAATCGGCCATGTTGACACTACATGATCACTTGAACAATCTGTATGTTATAATTCGATCTATTTGTTTACAAATTCAGGAACTTGCGGGTATGTGCCAGTCATGAAAAATTGTGAAGACATGAGTTCGGCATACCTCAAACACTTCCTACATTACAAATATTTCCCCCAGAAAATCTCAAAATATGCCTTATAATACAATAAAGACACTTTATTTCATGCTCTGATTTTATTCCACCGTGAAATGTCTTTTTTCGACTTCGCGAAACAGTGCTAGACATATGTATACATCCCTCATGATTTCCCGCCAGTAGACCCTTTGAGTAGTCACATTCCCAAAATTCCTCTAAAACACAGTCTCAGTCAAAATTGTTGGGACGTTGTTGTGTGTTCTCCTCCCTTCAATGTTGGTGTACACGATTTGCCGACTGAATGGCAATAAACAACATTGGGAGGGAAAAGGAAAGCACGGGAAGGGAAAAAAGGCTTTTGCGTTAACTGTCCCAACTATTTTTGTCTGAGACTGTAGCTAGACAATGTGAGATTGAACATTGGTTTCTCTGTGGTGCGGACGGACTAAGTATTGTTATGAACAAACATTTAAATATTCTGATTGACTGCACACATTTAATTAGACATATTAAATTCTGCAAGCAGAATACTGCAATGCTGATCGTACTACGTGAAAATTAAGTACGCAAGATATCAACACGACACCAAAAGAACTCAAAACAGAGCGGGATTGTAGCCATAGACAGCTGTTTCGCCCTTTTTGGGGCCCGTCAGTGTGGCGCAACAACCAGAGAAAGCTCTGATGAAAATAACCGCGCACTCTGATTTAAGCCCTGACCTAGAACTCTCAACATCCACAGAATCACGCAATACCAAGCGTCTTCTGGGGGACAAGAGTCCAAGTGCAAAGTTGATGTCTCGCAGACAAAACAAAGGATTGGTCAAAACCAACCTCTAGAACATGGACAGAACCATGCAAGAATTACAGAATATCGGATCTATAAAAGATCTACGGCCCCAAGATACACTTTGTGCTTAACTTTTGTACACATTTAATTGTATTTATACTGCAAGCAAGTAGTCTTTTCTTTTCTTATTGCAAAAAAAGGTAATTCAGGTGGATCAAAAGGTGTTCTATTGTTTTTGTTTCACATGTTTACATTTTTAGTATATTATTTTAGTCTAAATGAGTTTTTCTGTAGCCCTTTTTCGTTGTCATGCTTTTTTTACGATGTTTTGTTGCTGGTTTCCTGTAGATCCACCCAACATAACCTATATGTCTGGAAACCAGACTGTAAATCAGACTTATTTTGTGACTCTTAACTGTTCAGCTGATGGTAACCCAGCACCACGCATCACATGGACAAGAGTATCTGATAACAGTGCTGTCACCTTTCCACTCACCATCACTGGCAAAGGAAATGAAGGAGCATACACATGTACTGCTGATAATGGTGTAAAGGATTCATTCAGCAAGGACACCTTTATAATTCTTCAAAGTAAGTAAAAGCGTTTTGAATATGTCATAAGAAAGTCGTCTTCATCATGATCAGCATATTTCCACGTACTTTATCAGGTGATACATTGCAAATGAGGTTTAAGTGAATGAAGAAAAATAGGCACGTGTAGCGTGCATGAACTATTTTAAATGCTTCATTGTAACCAAGAATGAAAAATCTACCTTTTTTATCTTAAATATGCGAAGTTGGGTATTGCTGTACATGAATGAAAACGCGAAACGCTCAGCAGAGTCGATTCCCATTCTATATATTCACTTTCCTTTTAATTGTCTTTCCCTAATACATCTGGTGCAAGTTAAACAATCTGCTAAAGTACAATAAATATTAACTAACCAAACGTTGATTAGAAGGAAAACTCAAAGGGTTGTTCGGAGATTCCCAAGAAAGTGTGGTTCATCGAATACCGAATAATTACGAAATATCCGGATTTTTATCACTTTGGTAGATGTTTGCATCATCATAACTCACGAGGGTTTAACATGCGATTCAACTCAATGAGACACGACTTAATTCCTCATGTTTTAAAAACTGTTGCTTCTTAAAAGATGAGAGCTTTACTTAAGGCATTGGTTACAAACCGAAACAAATCTTCATACGTTCAAGTTACTATAACTATTATCTTTATTTGGGCGTCGGCCAAATAGAGTAATCGAGATCGCCTGTTTTGATTCAAAGTTGCAATAGGTACGCAATACGTGCGAATGTAAACAAGCCAAGCGACGCGAATAATTTCAGCCACGCGAACGACTCGTACAACGTAAAAAGCATGTCGGAGAGAAAGCTCTGCTGACAGGGTACTTGATGCCACTTTAACGATCTCAAAAACCTTACAACAAAGAAACGAAACTCGCAACATTGCAGGAACGAAGAAATTAAAAGCGATGAACTTGTTAAAGCAACGCAGGGATAATTTGCAATTTAGAGAAAAATATAAACTTAATCCGAAGCTTACGGTATTTTTTACGTCACATAAAAGCCGGCCGGTTTTTTTCAGAAAGTTTGAAGTGCTAAATCGAGGGACAAAATCTGTCAAAATATTTGGAATTTAAAGGGGGTTTGGATCACAACCAAGAGTTTAAGCGATTTTCTTGCTTACTGTGAGGTGTCTGCGTTCACGAGGAACGGCAGTTCAAATATCATATTACGGGAAACGTGCTGTGTTTTTTGACCTACGATAATTTGTTTAGCCAGGTTGATTTTTTGCTATTTTTATCCATTTGCAATTGCTTTATGTGTTGTTTGATTTTTTGAAAGTAATCAATATTTTTAGTAGTCGTATTCAACACTGAAAATTACACTGTGTAATTGACGGGTTTGGCTTATACCCAAGAGTTTGGCAATATTTTTGCCCTCAGTTGTCTAGAGCCAAAGGTGTGATGCAATGACGCAAAATTCCGTGATCGTGCATGAGATAAGTACGGGATTGTTTCAATGAGGGGAATGACATGTGATGAGTGGCCACATATAAAGTAATTCGGCAGTTTGATAATTTTATTGGAGCTTATTGATGTCAGCCTACTAATCTTAACATTGAATGATGCATAATTTCATTGCGTATATTCTGAAAGGAGGTGATTTCTATCAAAAAATCTTATTGAGCAAAATGAACTCGTAAACAACTCAAGTAGATTAAGGCCTGGGTCATTACACATTTTTCAGAATTTTTAAAGAGGGGTGGTATAACGTAGAGTATTTTCAAGACATGCCATGACTAACAATTTAAGGCCAATCATAACCAAAAAATCTTCCAATTTCATTTTAAAAATTGTTCATAACTGCATCACGTGACCAGTCACGCCCTGTTTTATCGAGAAATTCTTTGAGTCGAAATTCCCACCAGAAAGAGAGTAAGCCATTTTTCTTTAGTAGGTCCAAAAAGTGGCTACTGATAGTCTTCTCGTAAAAACAATCGGAATGAGGAGAGGTCAATAAACGTCTTTCTCCTGTCGATAATTTTAGCTAGAGGAGGACTGGCACTAGTCAGTGAACACCAATTGCACAGGCCAATTGTAGTGCTTCGAACCATTCCGAGCTGATTTCGTAGACACTTTGTAGGGATAATGTTTTGATACAGAAAAACTGGAGCTACTCGTTTGCAAAGTGATGGGAATCGTTGGTTACAATTTTTGACCAATGGAGGGCGTGGTCGATCTCGTGAGCAAATAATTTTAATTTCTTTTTTCAAGTTTTTTTAAGTTTCGTTTATTTTACCATATAACGTCCCTCGTGGATGTCTTTAACCATTGTTTTTGGAAACTGTACATAAAAACCATACATGACTTAGACCCAGGCCTTAATCTACCTGAGAAGTTGCATTATTATATATGTACTGAGATTTACTGCAAAATGAATATGTCAAATAAAAATGATGCGTTGCAGAGTACACGCAATCTGATTGGTTGTACGATTTTTCTCACTAGTGAAAAATACCGTATGACCAATCACAACCCGCAGACGAAAGTTTTCACTAGTGACAAAAATCGTATCGATTTTCCCGCCTTTCACTGACGGCGTCACTAGGCAAAAGGAAAACCATGGCGTCTTCTTCGAGCAATTCAAGGTTTGCAGATATAACTTCAGTAGAGGAATTTATTGAAGAACAAGAAAACGAAAACACCAGGAAGAAAACTGAACAGAATGTTGCTTTGCTTAAGGAGTTTTTGAGGCTAAAAGATGAGTCAAGGCCTGTAGAAGAAATTCCCCCACACGAACTGAGTTCATTCATCAGCGAATTTATCATAACAGTAAGAAAGAAAGAAAACAACGAAGATTACGAACCCACTTCCTTGCGTGCTATGATGGCCAGTTTTGGACGGTATTTAAAGAAGAAGAATTACGGCTACAGCATTATGAGAGACGTCGAGTTTGAAAAAGCACGAACGGGATTAAAATCAAAACAAAGAGATCTCAAGAAGAAAGGCAAAGGCGATAAACCAAACGCTTCAGTTCCCCTCACAGAAGACGACATAAAACTGCTGTATGACAAAGGATTGTTAGGAAAGTCAACTCCTGAGGCTCTACTGAATACAGTTTGGTTCAACAACACAGTCTATTTCGGTCTCCGTGGTTGTAAGGAACACAGAGACATGTGTTGGGGCGATGTGCAACTACGCCAAACTACAAATGGCGAGGAATTTTTAGAGCATACTGAGAGACAAACTAAGACTCGAACCGGAGAAAATCCCAGAGATGTCAGGCAAATAAAACCGAAAATGTTTTCGGTTCAGGAAAGTGAAAGAGATCCCGTCACTGTTTACAAATTCAACGCGGAGAAAAGACCGTCGGAAATGAACGACAACAACGCGCCATTTTATCTAGCAGTAAATAACTGTAAAAAACAAGATTCTTCTAAACCATGGTTTAAAAAGTCAGCCGTTGGCGTGAACAAGCTGAATTCGTTAATGACAAAAATGGCAGAAAAAGCCGGGCTGGGGCCCAATGTAAAGAACCATAGCGGTCGCAAAACAATGATCCAAACTTTAACAAACAACGACATCCCAGCGACAGATATTATTCAACTGTCGGGACATAAAAATCTTCAAAGTGTGACAAATTATTCTGTAGTTTCTGAAAAACAGCAAGTAAAAATGTCTCGTACTTTAAGTGAACTGATGTCCGGGAATGTGCATAGCTTAGAGAAAACTAATTCATCTCAAGTTGGAGAATGCTCCACTGATCCTTCAGCTAGCTCGGCGGGTCGCTCGGCGGCAGATCTTCACCAACAAGCGATGTCGCTTTTCACGGGCGCTGTTATTCATGGAGGTCAATTCAGCATTTCTATTAACAGCCTCAATTCAATCCCCGAAGTTGGCAATCCAAGAAGTTGAGGTAAAGTCTTCTCCAAAGAGGTACAAAAGGCTAAAAGTACTTGACTCTGACTCTGATTAGAATGCATGCATTACTATAATTAGATTTACAAAACAGTCAACTTTTTCAAATTTTATATCTTAGTTACGGTTTTGAACGGCGATATTTAAAGCTGAAAATTTTCATTGTTATTTAAAGTTAAAGAATCGTTTAAAAGTAGACTTTGTTCCACTTTCTTCAGAGTCATTGAATAACTTTAATGTTGTAGGAAGTTTTGTACGTTCAGTTTGCTCGAATAAAATCATTCGCAACTCGTTGTGGTCTTTGTGTTGATTTCACCGCGCAATTGATAGTTGTTAACATTATTTTGTAATATCTCAGTACATATATAATAAACAAATTACCTCATGGTTAGTTCGCTTGTACGATTTTTATTCACTCGTTGTGAAGAATCGCAAACTCACTCGTTCGCTGCGCTCACTCGTTCGTTTTCGATTCTTCACAACTCGTGAATAAAAATCGTACGCACTCACCAACCATGAAGTAATCTCTATTTCTTTCACGTTCGAACCGTACAAGGAGATCACTCCAACATCTTCACGTGCAAACTGAGTGCGTGACAGTTATTTTTAAGGGCCTGTTTACATGGAGGTGGGGGAAGGTAGGCAAGGCAACCCGCTTAGGTGGGGTAACCCGCCTGTCCATATAATCTCTCATTTTAATTTGATCACGTTTACATGATAGGTGGGGTGACCCGCCACATGTTACCTCACCTGTCTGGAGTCCCATACCTTCATGTAAACAGGCCCTAAAGCAATTGGGTTAATTAGATTAAGTCGATTTCTTTCATACACGAACCATAAAAGTGGCAAATTCCAAAGCTTTCACTTGCAAACTGCGTGACAATACAACTCACAGTAACGGCCTGATTATATGACCCGGGCTGGCCCGGTTTGTTAGGCTGGCTAGCTCTGCCGAATTGACTTTTATCCCGGTGTTACATGAACCGGGCCAGCCCTGGGCCACCATTTTTATATAAAGACTGGAAGCAGCGTGCATGAGCAGGGTGTTATCCGCTGTCTTGTTTCTCTCTTGGTTCATTCGCCGGGCTGATCGGCAAGCATGATTACTTGGAAAATTTCAAACCGAGATCCCGCATCATAATAGCGGAGCTCCCGCG